TAAATCAATGTGCATCATCAAGTTTGGCGTGTACCAAATTGGCAGCATTCGTGCTGTCCATCGGATTCCATCCCACGGTCTCAATCTGTGTATGATGTGACAGGAGCTAAACTTCTTCGAATCTCAAACGTAAATAACGCGTCGAAAAACTGCAATTGTCCCTTAAAATATGAAAACACGGTTAAGCCTCCATCTCCCTTTTCCCGGTTTCTTAGCTACTCAGAGTGCCTCCTGAGTTGTAAATCTCACATGCCCCACCTTCTTTTCTCTTTAATCTACAAAATTAGAACCTTCTCTCCAATTATTCGTCCGTTATTATTATTTTATTAGCAGCATAATTAGGCCTATATATATAAGGTACCGTTTGGTACGTGGGACGAGACAGAACAGAGTAGGACAAGGCGTTCCGTCCCACGTTTGGTGCGCCTAAAACGGATGCAACGAGCTGTTCCACAAGACGAGTTTTGGGTGAATTTTAGTTCCACCTCACCCCCCTGAAACGACTCGTTCCACATCCGTGAAACACAAAATTATAACCTCTCCGTCTCCTTCTTCTTCCTCCTTGTTTCCATCTGAGGGCATCTTTGCTCCTGCTCTGTTCCGTTCCGTCCTGTCCCGTCCCGTCCCGTCCCGTCCCGTCCTGTCTGCATTACAAACGATACCTAAGTGCCTCCACCACAAAATCGCATATCAAATTTCAAGTACACAAATTTTCCCATTTCTCAAACACCATAGAAAACAATGGTAGCAACTTCACTCATTTCCTCTTCTTCTTCTTCTTACTCCAACGTCTTTTCGTTCCACCCGATTTCCGGCACAACCCGAAACCCAAACCGGAACGTTTCTTCAACTAGGGTTTTTGCATCGAGTAGAACAAGAGCCGATCATGCAGACAAGTACTACCAAAATACAGCAGCAGGCTGGTGGACGAGAACATGATTGTTCTCCGGAAGAGAGTTCACGAGATGAAGATGGTGGAGAGGAACTACGAGCCTCCGTCGGATTGGATGGACTGGGAGAAGCGATATTACACCACCTACGATTCGTTTATATGCCAAGTCATGGGCCTCTTGCAGTCCCAGTTGATGAACACCAAGCCGAGTTTTGCTTTGGCATTCTTGGCTTTGATCGTTTTGAGCGTGCCTACTTCAACGCTTACGGTTTTCTTCCATTTTTCGGAGCTCGTAAAGGGCGTCGGTCTTCACTAGCGGCTATAGATACTGTTGAGAAGAGATTTGGTTCTCATCCTTTCTTTTCTACTCCATTGATTAAAATCATATTTCTTTTTAATTTTTGATCAAAGGACTTGAGTATTAATAACATCATTAATTATTTTAATAATAAAATATTTTTTTATTTCTAAATATATTCATTTAATGTTTAAAATGTTACAATTAGTATATTTATATTTATAACTAAAATTTTTTTCATATATTTTTAGTTTTAGTTTGTACCCATTTTTAATTTGTAATTCTTTTTTAACTTGTATCAATTTTTTTTTAAGTTTTAATTTGTACCCATATATTAATATTTTTTTGTGTCCATATTTTTTAAAGTTTATTTGTACTTTTTATTTTGTTAAATGTACCCATGCTATTTATGTGTACCCATTCATGTAAAACTTTTTAATCTTAATGGGTGCGTTTGTTGCACCGGATTATTTCGGATTAGACTAGTTTTAGGAACTAAGCTGGAATGCCTTAGACTAGACTAAATTAGACTAACTTAGTGAAACGCTTGGTGCAATATCAGACTAAGAGTAAAATAATGATAAAAAAGAAAAGAAAAACATGATATGTAGCAAAATATTCTTATTCAATGAAAGTGAACCCCAACATCGAAAGTTTCTGCACAATTAACCAAATTCTAGAAAAATCAAAACTAAGTGAAATCCTTTAATTTGTTATCCCAGAAAAAGCAGAACTACTGAAATCATTCAATTTGATCAACCACTCCAAATTGCTCAAAAGCTCTAATATCCCAGAAAAATCAAATCAATCAATTTGGTATTTCAAGGACAACTCGCAAATCCGACCCTCGCTTCACAAATCAAACGCAACCCAATTCACAAAATCATTTTCTTGATATGAGAGTTTATCTCCTTCATAAGTCCTCTGTTTAGTTTCTGCTAAAGTAGTTACTTGAAGATTTGTAGCCGAATAGCTCTTCAATTAACAATAACAACTTCCTTCTTGACCTTCCATCAAATAATTTGAAACCCTCCGTAGTTGTAAGCCTTCGAGAGAGAATGCAAAGTACCCAACCCAGAACCCTTTATCCTGTTTATAATTCAGAAACACAATTAGGAATTCCACTCAGAAGGAAAATCGAATCCCAGAAAAAACAATTTGAGAACCCAGAAAAATCGATTAAAAAACCTAGAAAAATCGATTCGAAAACCCAAAAAAGGGGAAAATACCTACAAATCGAGTCTTGCAGACTTGGACTTTTAGATTCGTTTGAATCGTTTATGTCAAACCCAGTCTTGCAGACTCGGAGATCTTCTGGACAGACAAGAGGGAGGTGGGGAGAAAGACAGCGGGATGGCAAGTTCTCAGGCGTGGGGTGAGGCAAAGTGAGGGGAAGCGGGGAAACGGGACTAGCAATCCCCTCCTTTTCAGGGGCTCTGGCTAAGCCCAGCTAATGAAGGATTTAGTTGGCAAGAGTCCGACTTAATCCCACTAAATTCAATCCCAGCTTGCACCAAACATAGAATAATAATCCTAACCAAGTAGTCCAATCCAATGAAACTTAAGGTGACCAAACAAACACGCCCAAAATGTACTCATTCTTAAATATACCAATTTGTTATATGTAAAATGTACCCTTTTTTTATATATAAAATCTATTCAATTTTTTTCTAATCCATTTTTAAACTTATATGGGTACATTCTTTTTTCTTTGATTTTAAAATGTATCCATGTCAAGTTTAATCGAAGAAATTTACTAATGTTATTAAGCCTAATATCTTTTTTTTTTTTTTTTTGTGATTTTGAAGAATGTACCCATGTTTTGATACAATAATTTTTTTGGTTAATTTTGATGAATGTACCCATGTTTATACACACACACACAATAGTATATTTATATTTTAATATTTTTAATCCCAAAAATTATGGTTTTTTATTTAAAATCTCATTTATATAAACAACTAAAATTTCTAATTTTTAATTTAAAAAATATAGTAACGTACATAGAAATAAATTATCACATTAATTTCAGGGATCTCGATCAAAAATTAAAAACCAACAAGGTTTCAATCAAATAATATTCATAACTAAGGACCGTGTCCAAAATCTCTCTGATATTAATTTGTTTGTATAAATTAATACATAGATATGCAGGTCTCGAAATTAATTAATGATATAAGTTCTTTTTCCAAGTTCTTTCATCCACTCTTCAAGGAAGGCCCGATTCTTCTAATTTCTTTTTCCTCAATAACCATATTAAGATGCATGTTACCTTGTATATAACCCATATTATGTATCAAATTAATATACAAAAAAAGTAATTTCCGCACATTAAATTTCTAATATTAACACATAATAGGCATATACAAAAATATGCACAAAAATCAGTCTGCTACCTTTTGGACCATCCACCCATTATGATTTTGGCATATCGCTTTATATCAATCTGAATCGGCGCGTTACAGTTCTCATCTATATGGACGCTTGAAGTCAGGGCAGGAAATTTGACTGTTAATCATTAACAAGCAGACTTGGCCGTTGTTATCGGACATGGATTCTCTCTGGATCTAGTGGTCTTAATCTACTAAGTTCAATCATCTGAGTCGTTAAAATTTAATCCAACGGTTAAAGTTATTATAACTTTTAAAATGCGTATCTGTTTATAGTCATTAGATCAAATTTCAACGGTCCAGATGATTGAACTTGATAGATTAGAACCACTAGATCTGAAGAGGATTCATTTCCGTCGTTATCATGGGCCACTCAATATTTTAATTTTTATAGCTTTGGTCGGCACTCAAATATTATTATTTTTTTAACAAAAATGTACATTTTTGCAAATGATTGAGGAATTACCGTGGATGCGTACCAAAACAACGGCCAATACAATTCCATAACTTGACTTATTTATTTTATATTGATAGGTTCCTCCCTATGAGTGTGTTTCGAACAATTGCACCGATCTTCATATATTATTGAATAAAATAACTAGAACTATGAAGTCCTTTTATTTAAGAGAAGTCGGACCGACACTGTGATAAAAAAAAAAAATAAAAAAATAACCAACGCTGAATGTTTATTGAAATTTATCAATATATAATCATTTGAAAAAAAAGTATAGGTGTGCTCTGACAAAAAAGCAATATATCACATTATTATACAATAACAGAAAAAATATTTTTCTAAATATCTCACCAGTTATATAATAATATGTAATGTAACACTTTCAGTATATTAATAACTCTCTTATATAAGTTGTCAATATCTTCTTTTATTTTTAATGAGAAGCACAAAAATAGTCCCACTGAAAAACGGCCTCAAGGGTGGATGAGCAACTAGCAATATCATGATTGCTAGAAGAGAAATGCTAAAGACCGACTCTTATAACAGAACTTTCCATAAACTCTCAACAGTAGCTTTTAGACTATGTTAATTATTAGAGGGGAGAAAAGCAACTATAATGAATATAGGCCAACTTCCAAGTTCCAAAGGATTATTCTTACGTTGGTTTACCGAACAATAATGAGAATGAAAGAAACGGAATGGACTCCCTTCATAGTTTTTTCTGCATTTATTTGTATGTAATCTGTAATAAAACTAACAAAATTCGTAATGAAATAATCCAGTCTCAGAAATTTGATTAATTAGGGAGGTGTTCATACTATTTCATGTCCCTATTTTTTTCGTTCTATAGTTATTTGATTCCTTAATTCCTCCGATAATCAAACGAGCCATTAATATATTCTTTTGTGTCGCGAGACTGATTAAATATAAATTTTTAATCAAATATTTAAGCACTACTCTTCAATCTTCATTAATCTGATAATTTCGTATTTTTATTATAAATTGAAGCCTTGAAATCAGGTCATAGGAAGACATAATAGATTTAACTGGTTACACCAGTTAATTAAAAACAACTCACAACGGAAAAATACATGAGTCATATATACATATGTTCAATCTTTTCTTAATTTGCCGTACAATACATCGACCTAAGCTCCAGCTGGAAAAGTGAGTCCAGTAAGTGGCTTCAAGCTAGGCGGTTGCAGCTTCTGTAGCATTCTCAAAGATCGTTCTTCAAAGAAAGCTCCTCATCCTGTCGTATATCCAGAAAATCTAGGTTCTTCCCAGAGGCATCTCATATCTCTTTAACTTCTGCGTTAAGTGCTACTGCAAAGTAAATTAGAGTCAAGAAAATTAATTTATAAATCGAGTAATTAGTGAATCCTTTACCAAGAATATCAGTTTACAGGTGTAGAATGAATAATTAGGTAAGGAGCTCCCTTCAGTCCAAGACGCGACAGCAACAACCAACCTCTCAGCTCCCGCTTCGTTGGATCAGAAACACACCACTTCTTTTAGCATTTGCACGATGAGTTCTTGAACCAACGAGTCAGCAGCTGAGTGTCAGCCCTTAAACTGCCCCGGACTGGACTGAAGAAGAGCTCCTTTCATATATATACATAAGCCCACCACACATATAAGATCATATATAAAACCCTAGGGATTGAATTCATGAAGCAAATACACCACATAATATAGGATTTGCATGCACGCAAACAATTACAAGTTGTTTTGATCAGGTAGAAGAGGCATGCTTGTTCACTAAAACTACACATGAATATTTCTATATTAGTATATACATAATTCAGGTAAAGGAGAGAACTAATAGCTGAGAAAATGGAAAGGTAAGGGAAAGAAGACGAAGGCGAGGGTATATATAAACATAATAAGGTGAAAACGCCGACATGTAGATCTATGAAGCAGTACTGGAAAGAGATTTAGGGCAGAGGGAAAGGGCACCGCATTCATATCATGTTTGAAAATTTTCAAGGCCCTTTCAACTCAAACAAGACAACTCTCTCCTAATTTCGTACCATCTCTGCTGCCCTAGCTAGCTAATTTTATATCTCATGGGACAGCTGGATCGATCACCACAAAATCTTGTCTGATCAACTCTTAGATCTCAAGGCTCTAAGGCTGCCACAACTGTACATACATGTACAGCTGAGATTAATTCTTACCCAAAAACAAGTGTTATAAACCCACGCCCATTTCAACTTCTCATGTCAATTGTTTTAACTTGATTTATTCAATATAACTGTCAAAATTCATTTAAAATGACTTCACATACAAAACCACCACCATATCATATATATGAAAAAAAAATTCTTAGCAAGTTGATGTCAATTAATTTTAAGAAAAATTAATGAAAAGAGTTTAAAAACTTTGAGTTTTAATGATAAGGACAAAATAAATGATAAAATAAATAGTACCATGATTTACTTTTTAGTGTAAAAATATGATTTTTCGTTAAAGTAAACAATATCAAAAGCATTTCGTTAAAATTCCCTTAATTTTTTATGCTTGCCCTAGCCAAAGTGTTCAATTTAAAATCATTTTGCGAACATGCAAGAGCATCTTCTTAATAGAGATTTTGTTTTAGTGTAGAAAAATGTAATAGTTTTAGGACAACAATCGTATGTAATTTTTTTATAGTAGTTCAGACTATTCAGTAGTGCGAGAATGAACGGTCAAAATTAAATTGAAAAATAATACTATTTTTAATTATTTATCAATTTAATTAATATAAAGTCTAACTACTTGGAAGTCCAGATTATCAAAGACTTGAGTTTATCGTTTAAACAATTTCTTTGCCATATAAGACTTCTTATATATGTTACTCAGTACTACGATCTGGTACTATTCTTCGTCACTTGTAAGTGAGAGGTCTTAGATTTGAATATCGTGGATGACGAATTTGATATCAAATTAGATTGTTCATTGTGTGACTTAACCGAACTATCTCATCTCTTAGTGTAAAACATATCGTTACACTAAAAATAAAAAAGACCTCTTGTATATATATATCATTGTTTACCCCTTATTATTTTTTTCTAGAATACAAGAGCCTACGTTAAATACAGAGTTACTGCAAAGCCTTATCGTCATGTTTTCCCACGATTGCTCATAAACCTTAGGACAAAACTTGGTTGTTGAAAAAATCAACAGTATCTCCTACTGCTAGCCAATTACAAATGAACACGAAATCAATTACTTGACCATGTGTCCATCTATGTTTGGCCAACAGCTCATTTTTCAGCCGCAAAGTTATGTTCTAAACCTTGCCAAGAAGGGACTCGATAACATGCATTCAGCAAAATACCAAATTACCAATTGATAATCGGCAAACAGACTGGAAATGATGTAATCACACGAAAATTGTGAAGCTTTCAATATCTCTAAAATACCCCTTCCTAGTTAGAATTCTAAATTAAAACAATTTAATTTAAAAAAAAAATCCAAACAAACATTAAAAATAAATAATGAAGAATAAAATGTTAAAAAACAAATTGTCACATTTATGATCGCGTGACAAAAAACTAGTATACTATTACTCGAGAAGGCACTGTATATATCCACAATCCAAAATTGTCAGTTAATTCGTCATAATCATCACTTAATTCTTTGTCATAGGATTAGTACTATTCACATGCTTCTTTTTGTCTTTTACACTTGTTAATTTTTATTTATTAATTTATTTGATTTGATAATAAAAAATTGATTGTTTGATATATAAAAATAAATGTGCGGATAATACTATTCATAAGAATAACGTTGCAAAAAACTGAAAGCTAGCTAATGCTCATGCTACGTAGCACAGAGGAGGATTTTCTACCCTTTTATTCCTATCCCCTTTTATCCTCTCATCTCACATATTGTTTTTTGTTTTATTATCTCTATAAAAAAATCAATATAAAATATTAACATAGTTTAACCGTGACCGTTCAAATAGTAGAGCATGAAAGAGTAGAAAAATTAAGATGATAGACTCTACGCAGCGCAAGGCCTAATGTGTAAATAGATTATATTCTCTTTTCGTACTTGTACTACTGTGTACAGAAGATATGTGATTCCTCTCCTCAATCTCAGCTGAGAATGGCAACCGTTAAATAGGAGAGATCTCGAAGGCTAGTTTAGTTATTTGGTAACCAAAAAAGAAGAAAGGCTTGTTCTCTCCAATCCCAAGTCCCCAACTATTCTAGTTCCTTTCCAACCATTTCATTCCCCGGAGGCTAGATGCAGGGCTAGCTACATGAACAAGTCTTTTGGTTATGTGCAGAAAAGAGAGAATATTTCAAAACAAGGAGTTGTTACGTAATGTGGAGTTTTCCCAGAAATAACAGAGCGCACGTTGGCAGATCGGGGAAGCTTATGGATGTTTATGGTGACTTGTAGTGTCTGCCAGTACTCTCTGTCTCACTCACGCACTCTTATTGTTGTGCTCTTTATTTCTTCTTTCTACATATAATGCAACCAGGACAATCAGGGAATCTCATTCCCCATATATGTAAATGTGCTCCGACTTGTCATTTCACCTATTTTTTCTTTATCTTTTCCCGGCCTTTTATCAGTGAAGTGGAGTTCGGTACGAATTCTTACTTAAAATTACTAATTTATAGAGTTTTATGTTTATAATTTAAATTATTCATATTATAAATTATTTTATATTCAATGACTAATTTCGTTTAGTTATTGAATTGTATAAAAACAAATAAATGGAATTAATAAAAGCATTATGAATTGTCTGTGTATTTACTACAATAGATTGAATAAACGACATTTGTTTTAATTAAATTTTTTTCAGAGATGATCTTTATAGAATGATTGATAATATGAACGGTTCTGATCATAAGCACAAAACTTTGTGATTCAAACAAGAAGAATTTTAAGTAAGAATTCCAACTCATTATTGAATAGCTAAATATTATTCGAGTTGGATTCCCTCCCCCTTCCTATTCTTCTCCCCTCCCTCTCCTCCTCTCTTAGTTTCCTCTTCTTCTTTCTCTCTACAGAGAAAGTAAAACCAAATAATAATGTGACTTAATTTTTATTTAAGCGTTTAAATAGAAGGAAATGAAAGAAAAATTAGAGAGAGAGAGAGAGAGAGAGAGAATTACCTTATCCAATTACTCATGATTATTTCTTACTTTTTATTTTTTTATTTTTTTATTTTTTATTTTTACTTTGTCGAGATGTACTAGTAATATTGGGGATGAGAGCATCCCCAGCGTGGGGTTTTGCTCGGGGGACAGGCTCCAAAAGCATGGCCCGAGGGCCGGTGGTGATGCTCCAGCGTGGAGGAGGCCGAAGGCAGGGGGAGGCCCGAGGGCCAGGCCCGTGAGGGATTGACAGGCCTTGAGCCCGAGGTGGGTCTGACGCAATGCTGACGCCAGGGTGGCGTCAGCACATTATTTTATTTTTTTTGTGTCAGGCGCGTGCACCCCACCCGCGCGTGGGGGCGCGTCGCCGACACAAAAAAAATTTAAAAAATAAATTGTCAGTTACCGTTGGGAACTTAATGTGGACCGTTAGATCCTAACGGTCACTTAATGTGGACCGTTAGATCTCAACGGTAAAAATAAAAAAAAAAGTCAGATTTAATATCCACCGTTCGATCTGAGATCAACGGTGGATATTAAAATGCTTTATAAATTAAAAAATAAATGAAAAAATAGTTTTAAAATTTTGAAAAGTTACCGTTGTGACACGTGGCACAATCTGGAGCGTTGGAATTCAAATTTTTTTATATCTAACGGCAGAGATTAATTAATTGAATAAAAATTTAAAAAAAATTGTAAAAAATTCAAAAAAATATCTGAAAAATCTGAAAAAAATTGTAAAAAAAATTGTTTTTACTTTTCTATAAATACCTTCTCATTATCATCTACCTTACACAACAATTTCATATTTTCTCAACTACTTTCAATCACATTCCTTTCTTTGTCTCAAAGTTTGAATCCATTTTTTTTCAACAAAATGACCACTGGTGCAGGTACGAATTGGTCGCTTATTGAAGATGTTGCGTTGTGTACTAGCTGGGTTGAAGTTACTCATAGTTCGCTTACGGGTAATGAGATGCAGTTGCGAGAAATGTTGAGTCTTATTCATACCAATTTTCTTGAGAAAATTGGTGGGAAAAGAACCAAAGAATCGATGTCCAGTCGTTGGAAATTACTTAGCCAATCGTTTAGTACGTGGAGAGACGCTTTGGCACAAGCTAGTAGTAATATTCGAAGTGGGGAAACAGAAACTATGAATAATGATACAAATTTTTGTGAATAAGGAAGCAGAAACTATGAATAATGATAGAGATCTTGAGAATTTTGGTGTGAGATTTGTGAGGATGGATGGTGGATTATATAGAGGATTCAGAAAAGATTAGGTTCTGCATAATGCCACGTGGCATGCCGTCATTCGTTACAAATCTGATGGAAATCTGTCCTCAAAGATTGTAAACAGATTATGACACGTGGCATGCCGTCATTCGTTAAAAATCTGATGTAAATCTATCCTCAAAGATTGTGAACCGATTATGACACGTGGCGCGAAGTGATTGGTTAATAATCTTATCAGAAATCCATCACCAATAATTGTATTATTTTGTATTATTTAATAATACTTCGGATAATGACACGTGGCGCAACGAGAACGATTAAAAATCTTATCCGATATTACAATTAAAATTATTTTGTATTATTTTATAAATAAAAAAAAATAATATTTTATTGCCTATTGCCAGGACTATTGAAGTGTAACGGTGAAGATGCAAATTCTATTGCCAGGGCTACTTACTGTTCATTAAGGGCAGTTACTGTTCATTAGGTGGATTGAATAGTGTATTGCCAGGGGGGAGGGCTCCAACGCTGGAGTTGCTCTGAGGGTTGCACTCAATCTTTGT